ATATTTGATATCAACTTCGCGCGCGCACAAGCGCGCACACACACACACACACACACACACACACACACACACACACACACACACAGTGCTTAGCTCATAATAGGTTTAGTTTTTTTTTTTGCAATGATGGAGATTGAACCCAAGGCCTTGTGCATGCAAGGCAAAACACAGTATCACTTCAGCTATACCTCCAGATTTTAACAAGGTGCTTCTCAATTCATCTTTACAACTTACACTTTAAAAACCCAATAAAAAGAAGAATGGATATGAGAATGAGCTTTTAGTAAACACCCATCTTAAGTTAAATATCCCAGGAAACCATCTGAGATGTCTCGTTTCATTCAGTTTTATAAACTAGATCCAGTGTACTGTTGTAGTAAAACTTAACTTCTACTTGTTCTGTTTGGGCAGCAACCTCACATATTATATAACTTATTGCTATACTTAAAAAAGTTTCATAAATGCCAAACCCAAAATGCATTATTTCCCCTAAATATATTGTCAAAAGTAAATTTAAAAAGTATATACCCATATATGCTGCCCAATGGATGGCACGTCTATCTTTCTTGTCAAAAGCATTAATATTGGCACCTCTGGACAGGAGTAGTTTGACCATCTGGAATAAAAGTAAACAGTTTCAGAAGTAGAATTGTTTATAAATATGCCCTGTGATTATTTAACTTGATTTCTCTAGCATTGAATCACTGAAGTTGTAGAAAGGAACTAAATTGAATATTGATAAATATCGAAGGACATTTAATATGATAACATGGGAGGGAGTTCACTGTGTTACTAAAGTCAGGCTGCAGCCTCTTTTAAGAGGCCACTTTGCAACTCAGTATTTTATGAACATCTAAGTAAGTACAAACCTTGCAAGTCTAAAGATGGAATACTTAAATAGAAGTTGCATTGCTATTAATAGCCTAAAGTATTATTAGAATGTAAAGAACTGTCTCGTACCAGTAATGTCTGAAATTTAATTTTATCCCTCATGGTAGATCTACTATGTTTAAATCAAAGTATTACAGTCTATTTTCAAATTTTATATTTTAAAGTCTGTATTTCAAATTCAATATTTACAAAGTCTATTATCTCATAGTGAATCAATAATAATATAATATTTATGATTGTTTCTCTATTTTGTGATCTATGCTACAGTTGATCAAGAATTCAGATCATTAAAATGAAAAGAACAACAAGGCCACTAGGTTTCCAGCTGCAAAATCTTGCAAAGGCCATTCAAAAAATTTGTGTTCTTTTGTCTGCATACTAGGATTAGGATTTGGGTACATTGTTTCAGCTGCTTAGAAGAGGCTGAGGTAGGAGGACAGTCTGGAGTTCAGGAGTTTGGAACATAGTAATATTTCATTTTAAATTAAGAAAGGGAAGTAAAGAGAGTAAGAACAATAGTACAAAAAAGAAAGAACAGAAGGAAAGAAGGAAGGCGGGGGAGGGGGAGAAGGGGAGGTTGGACAAAGGTTCCTCTAACTCTGGTTCAACTAGGTTTACTAATGCTTGAAAGATTAACTATTTTGTGTGTAGTGTATACCTATTTGTGTGTGTGTAGACCAGATTGATATTGGGTGTTTTCCTCCACCATGCCCCACCTTTTATTATTATTATTATTATTATTAGTTTTTGTTTTTTGAGGCAGGGTTTCTCTGTTGTAGCCTTGGCTGTCCTGGAAGTCACTCTGTAGACCAGGCTGGCCTTGAACTCAAGAAGAGATTTGCCTGCTTCCCTAAGTGCTGGGATTAAAGACATGTGCCACCTTTGCCCAGCACTCCAACTTTTTTTTTGAGACAGGGTCTCTCACCTGGAGTTTACCAGTTTGGATAGGCAGGCTGATCAACAAGTTGCAGAGATCTGGCTGGGTTATAGGTGTGTACCACCACACCTACTCTTTATGTGGGTGCTAGGGATATGAACTCAGGTCCTCCCTTTTGCTTGCATAGAAAGTACTTATGGCCTGAGTCATCTCCCCAGCCCTGTGGTGACTTATTTTCTTTTCTTAAAAAGATTTATTTATTTGGGCCGGGCGGTGGTGGCGCACGCCTATAATCCCAGCACTTGGGAGGCAGAGGCAGGCAGATCTCTATGAGTTCGAGGCCAGCCTGGGCTACCAAGTGAGTTCCAGGAAAGGCGCAAAGCTACACAGAGAAACCCTGTCTCAAAAAACCAAAAAAAAAAAAAAAAAAGATTTATTGATTTATTTATTATGTATATAGTGTTCTGCCTGAATGTATGCCTACACACCACAAGGAGCATCAGATCTCATTACAGATGGTTGTGAGCCTCCATGTGGTTGCTGGAAATTAAACTCAGGACCTCTGGAAGAGCAGCCAGTGCTCTTAACCTCTGAGCCATCTCTCCAGCCTAACTATTTTCTTAATCTGTTTTCTTTCACTGGTTCTGTCACTAAGGAATTATCTCAATACAAACTAGAAGAAAGCATCATTACTAAACACTGCCTTTCTTTGCTATTATTCTTCCTTCTGAAAGAACAGTGAAATTGCTATCTCGCTGTACTTTGTAGACAATGACAGAATACATCTCTTGTTATCGTAGAGCTGACAATGCTGTCATTCTAGGTCATTGTGAAATTCTTGTGAATGTGTATTAAGTACTAAGTAAATTTTTAAATTTGAGAACATTTATATCACTGAAAAAGAAAAAAGCTGGCAAATTCTGTTTGTTTTTCCTATGAACTGAATGAATTAAAAGAAGGCAAATTCATTAATACCCAAAGGCTGGAAGAAAGACAATCAGTTTCTAATTGAATGCACCTACCTCGCCATGCCCACTGAAAGCTGCATGATGTAATGCAGTTCTTCCTGCTCGATCCGATACGTTCACATTACTCAGAAGAGGTACCAAAGACTCGGCGCACTTTACAGCTTTATTAGCAGCAGCTATATGTAAAGGGGTCTGCCAATTTTTGTCTCGAGCATTAACATCGGCAGAATGCTTCAAAAGTATCTGAACTGCTTCCTAAAATATAAACAAGAGAAGTGAATACTTTTAGAAATTATGAAGATGTAGTCATATGGAAAAAATAAAAGTTTTGAAGGAGCTCACAATAAGTATGGGAATTTAAGAAAGTATCTTGAATTTAAAAATAGTACTTAGAGCCATAAAAAGATGTATCTTGATAAAATATTCTCTTTTCTCACTAAAAGCACAGTACTCTATTAAAATGTACAAGAAAAAAAAACAAATTCATGTTTTTCATTAGGTGTTCATATCTTGTTTCTTATTAGCAAAATACATTAGCATATACATATAGCTTTAATAAGATTTACTATTTAATATTAAATATACAGAAACTTAAAAAGACATTTCTCATCTCTCAAAGAATTATGCATTACATTTTACCAAGTGAAAAAAAACACTAGGTCTGGCTCATTAAATTAGTACATAAAAGGTCTTTTATTGCAATGCTATTTAACATGAATGTTACTACTGAAGCAACTTAAGCATTACTGTACCGAGAAATTCATCTCCTTAGAAGCATATGGGAACCTTACACTATCACTTATAAAGCAGATGTATGCAGGATTCCAGGAATTTAGCATGTCACTGGCATTAAGCAATATAATCATAATTAAAACAGCAAAACTGTCTCCTTACAGTGATAATCCTATCTTTAGTAGGTAAGTACAAAACCACTTATGAAAATGAAAAGCAACAGAACTAGAACAGAATCTCAATACTATGACTTTTTAAAATAATTAAAACTTTATTTTCAAGAACTTGCAAATAAAAAAATCACACAAAGAAGTCAGCCAGACTCCAAATTGCATGAACTTCTATGGTTAGAAGAGTCATCCTGAAGCTGTGGAACTTCACAATAGATCTTACTTTCAATATCAATTATTATTTTATGCATTTAATTTACCATAACCTCCATCCCAAATCCATGAGAGTTAAACTAGAAAAACAATGAGCTTTATATTCTTTCATAGTTTGTGTCCTATACCTGCTTCCCCCTTCCTCACCACCTAACATTTACCCTTTCTTGTTCTCATTCTTACATGTTATACTGTATACACATTGTTTGCTTATATACATTATATAAATATATAAATTATAGACTAGAGTACACATGAGGAAAAACATGCAGTATTTTTTCTTTCTGAAACTGTTTGACCTCAATTAAGATTACATATCATAAGTTCAATTTTTCCGCAAATTGTGATTTTATTTTTCTTTAGAGTTGAATAATATTCCATTTGTATCAGATTTTAATTATCCATCCATCTCTTGATGAATAACTAGGTTCCTTTCATTTCCTTGCTATAGTGAATAAAACAACAATAAACATGGGAGTGCAAATATCTCTGTGGATGGCAAGAAATAATAAAGATTAGGGAATAAATTAAAGAAATAAAAATTAAAATAACAAAACACAAAATCAATCAGAATTGGTTGTTAGATCAAAAGAGTGTCATCATAAGAGACTCCAGCAAAATACAGAACATTAGTAGGACCATTTTGAAAAATTACACTCTAAAAAGCTAAATAACTCAGAAGAAATAGATTTTCTAAATGTATATCACCTAAAAAAATAAACTTAGATGATATCAATAATGCAAAGAGACTCATTACAAGTAATGAGATTGAAGACATAGTCAAAGTCCTCTCATCAAAGAAAAGTCCAGAAAGCTGATTCACTGCTGAATTCTATCAAACTTGCAAGAAAGATCTCTTACCAATTCTTAACTTTTTCCACAAAACAGAAGATGAAGGAGCACTACCAAATTTACCCTATGAAGTGAGTATTATTCTGATGCCCAAACCAGATAAAGACACAAGAACAACAATAAAACTACTGACCAGTTTCTTTAATGAACATAGATACAAAAATTCTCAGAAAAATACTTGGCAAAAAGAATTCAGGAACATATTATATTAAGGAGATTATATATTATGACCAAGTGGGCTTCATCCCAGAAAGGCAATGTTGGCTCAGATATATAAATTAATAAATATAATACACCATATAAATGAATTTAAGGACGGAAACCACATAATCATTTTGACTGATTTTAAGAAGATATTTGACAAAATACATTATACCTTCATGATAAAGTTTTAGAGATATTAGGAACAGATGGAATATACTTCAAAATAATAGAGTATATACAAACCAACTTATAACATACATTATATTAAATGGAGAAAAACTGAGAACATTTCCTCTAAAATCAGGAATAAGACATAAGAATGCCCAATCTCCCCTCTCTTATTTGATACAGTACTCAAAGTCTTAGTTATAGCAAAAGAAAGACACAGAAGATAGATAAAAATAAGAAAGGAAGAAGTCAAATTATTTTTATTTGTAGATGGCACGATCCTTGACTTAATAGGTACTATATAGTTTACTAGAAATCTCTGTGATCTAGTAAACACAATAAAGTTGCAGAATAAAAAAACCAACATAAAAAAGTATATCCCAGTGGCCTTCATATTTTCCAACAAAGTACTCTCAGAGAAATAAATTATAAAAATATTCCATTCAAAATAACTCCAAAAAACCTGAAATATTTAGGAATATAACCTAGTCAAAAAATTAAAAGACCTCCAAACAACAAAAACTTCAAGACACTGAAAAAGGAAATCACAGAAGGTACTAGATGATGGAATGACCTTCCATACTCTTGGACTGGCAGAATTAATATTGTGGAAATTGCTATAATATCAAAAATATACACATTTACTGTAATTATCGAAAATCTGATACATTCATAGATCACATAAACAAATCAATAAGTATACTGTCACACTGAATATATTTAGAAAAAACAAAGAATCACATGGAACCACAAAGGAGCACAAATAGCCAAAATAATCCTAAGGAGTAAGAACACTGCTGGATTATGACAATACCTGCTTCCAAACTTTATCATCAGTATGGTGATAAAAAACAGTCTCCTATTGGCACAAAAACAGGAAAGAGGACCAACAGAAAGGAGGACCCAGAAATAAAAGACAAAGCTATGCCCACTTAATTTTGACAATAGAGACAAAAAGCACGTATTTGAAAAAAGGATAGCCTATTCAACAAATAGTGCTCTCAAAATTGGATATCTTATCTACAGTAGAATGAAATCAGATTAATTTTTCACCTTGTTTAAAAAAAATCAATTCATCAAAATGACTCTGAGACACCACCTTACACCTCTCAGAATGGCTACGATCAAAAACACCAATGACAACCAATGTTGGAGAGGATGTGGAGCAAAGGGAACACTCCTCCACTGTTGGTGGGAATGTAAACTTGTACAACCACTATGGAAATAAGTATGGCGGTTTCTCAGAAAATTAGGAATCGAACTACCTCAAGACCCAGCCATCCCACTCTTGGGCATATAGCCAAGGAATGCTGATTCATACCATAAAGATACATGCTCAGCTATGTTCATAGCAGCACTATTTGTAATAGCCAGAACCTATAAACAACCTAGATGCCCGTCAATGGAAGAATGGATGAAAAAAAATGTGGTACATATACACAATGGAGTACTTACTCAGCAGAGAAAAACAATGAAAGCATGAAATTTGCAGGCAAATGAATAGAACTAGAAAAAATCATCCTGAGTGATGTAACCCAAACCCAGAAAGACAGTCATGGTATGTACTCACTCATAAGTGGATTCTAGATATAAAATAAAGAACAATCAGACCACAAAAAAAAAAAAAAAAAAATTCAAAATTGGATCAAATCCCTTCATTTTAAACCTGAAACATTAAAATAAAAGAAAACAGATAAATAGCCTTCAAGATGCTAGGTTTATCAAGAACTTTCTGAACAAACACCATCAATACAGGAACTAGCCTTAAGTATCAACAGATGAGACTATATAAAAATTTAACTATTAGCAACAGAAACTATCAACAGAGGAAACAGCAAAGAAGAGAAAAAATCTTTTCCGCTACACTTTACACAAGGGGCCAATATCCAGAATTTACAAAGAACTGGATAAATTAAATACTAAGGAAATAAAACTGCCCATCAACAAATGGGCAAGTAAACTGAGCAGTTTTCAAACAGAGAGACACAGATGTATGGTGATATTTTATTTGTGCTCAAATAAATAAAGCTCACATGAAGATCAGAGGAAAAAGCCAGCCACTGTATTAAACACAGAGCCCAGGCAGTGGTAGCACATGCCTTTAATCCTAGCATTTGGGAGGCAGAGATTTAGCCAGATCTCTGTGAGTTCAAGGCCACACTGGGCACAGAACTAGGCGTGGTGTCACATGCCTTTAATCCCAGCACTAGTTAACCATAGAGGTCTGGAGGTCTGTACAGACAGGAAGTGATAGAGCTGGGTGGAAAGAAGCTGAGCAGAGAGAGGAAGTAAGAGGGCAGGGCACAGAAAGGGTTTATAGGTGTGAGTATACAGGAAGTAGCTCTCTCTTAGGCTGAGGATTTTCTAGGGGTAAGAATGTGGCTGGCTTCTTTCTCCTTCTCTGATCTCTCAGTTTTCACTCCAATATCTGGCTCCGGGTTTTTAATTAATAAGACCTTTTTAAGATTCGTCTTACACAGATGGCCAGTAACTGATTTTAAAAAGTATTAAGTATCTCTAACCATCAGGGAAACACAAATTAAAACTACTCTTACCCCAACTCATCAACAAGAAAACTAACACAGGGGCTGGAGAGACGGCTCAGAGGTTAAAGAGTATTTGCTGCTCTTGCAGGAGACCCCGGTTTGGATCTGAGCACCCACATGGCAGCTTACAATAATCATCTGTAACTCCAGATCTAGGGGACCAATAAAGCAGTTCAGCTGAGATCCTTTTGGGTGAGGGCTCAGAGGCTTTCAGTCTGAGGAGACAGGATCAAGCTGAGGAGTTGGTGAGGTGAGGTTGGCTGTGGCTTGTTCTGCTTCTCTATCATTCAGTTTCACCCCAATATCTGGTTCTGGGTTTTTTATTATATTAACAATTAGATTTCATGCTACAGACTAAGGTTCTCATCTG